CATCATTACATTGAATCGTTACATTGCATCTACTAAAACTCGTAGCATTTCCATTGTATGGAGAATTACGTTAAAAATAAATAAATTCAAACATGCATGAGTATAAGCCAATTGTGTCCACTTGTGGCAACAAGATTGTTATGCGCTCAGATTTGATTTACCCCCACAAGAAGCCTAGGGTAATTCTATTATGTTTCCCCAGCAGAGTGTGTTTGGATTCACCACCAGTCAGGTCTTTGGTATTTCTCTATTTCCCCAGTAAGTTTGTGGTTTGCGCTTTTCTTTGCAAGCCTTCGGTTATTTTACCCGCGTTTGCTTTGTCGTTAGAGTATGAGTAAGAGTTGGCTTATAACCTTCCTTGCTTTTCAAGTGTTTGAGTATCCATACTTGGTGTGTGGTAATTCTAACAATTGCCACTCTTGAAGAATTAACATCCCGCCTCTGGCCTGGGGGATTTTTAGTTCTTGCATATTTGCAACCTATCAAAAGCCTAACGTGTTTTGGGAATCCTTATTAGGGTCTGCTTTGACCAGTCCCTTTCTATTGCAGAGTTCACCTTCGATCAGTGCTCTTTAAAGGTCACGCTTTAGTCGGTTTCCTTGTTTTGGTTTATCCACGTTAGTCGGGTCCTCCTTTCGTTAGCCTAGCTAACTTTTTATGATTAAGAGTCTTTCAATGTCTCTTCAAAGTCCAAGTGTCTGGCACCCTTGTTTAGGCGAATGCATCCTTTTTTATTGGGGCTTTCTTCGGTTAGTCTCGTTCCTCTGTTCGCTAGCAATTCTAAACATTTGTTTCTTGATGATCAATTTTGCTCTTGTGTATCTAACTCTGACCAGATATGCATACCTTTATCATTTGTTGAGAGTCCCCTTCGGCTGGTCTCTTTGCAGTAGTAAGTTCGCCTTCGACCGACGTTCTGTTATTAGGAATCTACCTTCGGCATAGTATTCCTGGATGAAGATTCCCCTTCGGCTGGTTTCTTTATCCTAAAGTCCACCTTCGGCTGGCATCCTTTAAAATCCACCTTCGGCTGGTACCATTTGTTGAGAGTCCCCTTCAGTTGGTCTCTTTGCAGTTGTAAGTCCGCCTTCGACCGACGTTCTTTTCTTAGGAATCTACCTTCGGCATAGTATTCCTGGATGAATATTCCCCTTCGGATGGTTTCTTTATCCTAAAGTCCACCTTCGGCTGGCACCCTTTAAAGTCCACATTCGGCTGGCATCCTTTAAAATCCCGCTTTGGCAGGTATCTTTCAAAACCCCGCTTCGGCTGGTATCATTTGTTAAAATCCATCGTCGACTGATATCATTTGTCAGGAGTCCCATTTGTTTGGTCTCTTCCCTCAGTAAGTTCACCTTCGATTGGTGTTTTCTTTGTAAGAACTTTCTTCGGTCTGTCTCTTTCATACGTATCCAATACCGACCACGGATATGTATTTTTTTCTCTTACGTATCCGATACCGACCACAGATATGTATTTTTGATACCTGTTTCATATGTCTGCTACCGATCCTAGACATGTATTCTTGATAACTTTGTGAGGGCTTTCTTCGGTCTGTCTCTTTCGTACGTATCTGATACCGACCACGGATATGTATCTTTGATGTCTCTTTTATGCGTATCCGATACCGACCACGGATATGTATCTTTGATGACTCTTTTGTGCGTATCCGATACCGACCACGGATATGTATCTTTGATGACTCTTTTGTGCGTATCCGATACTGACCACGGATATGTATCTTTTCTATCTCTTTCTTACGTATCTGATACCGACCACATATATGTATCTTTTCTATCTCTTTTGTGTGTATCCGATACCGACCACGAATATGTATCTTTTCTATCTCTTTCTTACGTATCCGATACCGACCACGTATATGTATCTTTTTTATCTCTTTCTTACGTGTCCGATACAGACCACGGATATGTATCTTTTCTATATCTTTCTTACGTATCTGATACCGACCACGAATATGTATTTTTGATGTCTCTTTCTTGTATATCCGCTACCAACCCCGGATATGTGTCTCTGATACCTTTTTCCGTATGTCTGCTACAGACTTCAGGCATATATCTTTTGATATCTTTCTTACAGGTGTTTGTTACTGAATCCCAACAGACGTTCCTTGATAACCAAGTTATTCTGCTGTGTGTCAAACCCTGGTTAAACATACATCTAACCTCGATAACCCCTTTAACCTAGAAAGCAAAAAAATAAAATAAAATACAGAAAGATAAAAAATAATGATACCTAACTGGCTTCGGAGCGCAAATTTTCGGGTTCTTTTAGTATTTAATCTTCTTCTACCTTGAAAGTTCGAAAGGCTGGCGCGAATCTCACCTTCAGGTTGAAGACGATTAAATAGGGGCAGCTTTGCACCCCAAAATTTGCCCTCCTAAATTTCTTCTATTTTGGCTTAGATTCTTGCATTCATCTGTATATATTCCATTAGGTCATTAACATACATTTGCATTCAATAAAGTGCTTAAGGATCAAAGTTCAGTGGTTGTGCAATATTAGGGTTTCTAATCCTTGGTGTTCAGATCTGATTTGGTTTTCATTTGAGGCGTTCTCTTCATCGCAATCAAGTCGTGGCCATCTTGGTCATATTTCTCTCTGTATCCTCACGTTCATTTCCAAGCTGTTCTACAAGGTCATCTAAGGGCTACTAAATCAAGCATTCATTATCTCCTTGTGCTCAAAGTCATCCTTTGATTAGGGTTTATTTCCCTATGCGTGGGTTTGTCAGATGAATTTGGCAGGGCTAATAGTCAAAGGTTCTTCACCAATGACTAGCTAGGGTTTTCTTTCGACCTTTCTTTATAAGTCAAAAGGGGGAGCTTATTACTTAAGTCATAACCTAGGTGATCGGAAACCTCATACAGAAGACAAATGTGGATATACTGGTACCCGTTTTACCGTTTGATCTTCGATTCAAATAAATTCGTTCAATTAGCTATGATGCTTGAGAATCAAGATGTCACATTGCTTAGGCCTTACAAGTCATGTCTTTGGTTCTCACACGAGGCTTTGAGGTGAACGTGGTGTATTGGATCATAGTTGCATCCAATATTTTGACAATATCTTACTTGAGTTCCTTTGATTGACTGAGAGTATCTGACCTCATGATGTGTTATATTAAAGAATGTAATTTGAAGCAAAATTTGAAAGGTTAAAAGAAGCTTTTGGAGGGAAAGAAAGATTCAAGTCATATTTCATCTCCAAGATGCCAAGTATCACAAAACTCATCCGAGAAATATTGAAGAATCCAAATGAAATACAATAATATGAAAGCAAGGTTCAAGATTGAAAATTGGAGAAAATATTAGATGCTTGAAGATTCATTCAAATTAAAGCATAATGGAGGGAAATTCAAACTTTATAATTTTTTTAAAAAAATAAGTCATATTCCCCTATATGAATCAAAGTTTCACTCCAAATCCAATTTCAATTGTCATTACAATACTGGAAAAGATAGAAAGAGATTACACTTTTGACCAATTCTACAAAGTTCACATTAAGCCTACAATCTAATCTTCATTCTTCATTTTCTTTACCAAGTCTCCTTTGACTCCACCTTGCACGTCCTTTCTTCAAGCCTTATCCTCCATGGTCCCGCCTTTAAGTCATGCTGCAACCCACACAAAATATGAGAGAATTAACAACAAGGATGTTAATTAGCAGACAATCCATTTCTTTAGAATATACGATGGCCACAGTGCTCTCAATAGATAAATTGTTGTTGTGATTGTATGCATTTGGCTTTGTCTAAGGAAGTAGAATTGTTCAAAGAAGGTCTAATAATTGGAAGTACAAAAGATGATTGTCAAAATTTATGAAAGGGTTTTTACTAACTGAATTTTTGAAGGTTGATAATGAAGTTGGGGAGAGAGTTAACGGTGAACCTGTTGCACCAGGAAATGTTGGTTCCATAACTACTAATTGTTCATCCCATATTATAGTTCCAAACTATGGTAATTCCTTTGCGGTTCGAGCTTCTTTGTTCCATCATGATACCCATTTCAATTAAGGTATCTCTGGATTTCATGAAGAGCTTGTATGCAAAGTTTATTGACTGGGACCATCTAATGATTGACCTAGAGACTAGCATTCCATCTCATGCAACAAATACAGCGATAAGCGAGGACCTTGGACAAATAGAGTACATTTTGACAGACAAAACAGGCACCTTGACTGAAAATAAGATGATATTCAGAAGATGTTGTATTAATGGAATTTTCTATGGAAATGAGAGTGGAGATGCATTGAAAGATGTAGAGCTCCTTAATGTTGTTTCCAGTGGTTCTCCTGATGCTGTACTATTTCTTACATGGCAATATGTAATACTGTCATACCTACACGAAGCAAAACTGGAGATATCTTGTATAAGGCACAGTCTCAGGATGATGATGCTCTTGATCAAGCTGTTACTCAGCCGCATATGATTTTCGTCAATAAAAGTGGAAACATTCTTGAAGCCAAGTTCAACACTACTATACTTCAGTATGAAGTCCTGGGGATCTTAGAGTTCACTTCTGATAGGAAAAGAATGTCAGTAGTGTTGAAAGATTGCCAAAATGGAAAGATCCTTCTCCTGTCAAAGGGAGCAGATGAGGCTATTCTTCCATATGCTCGTGCTGGGCAGCAAACTCGTCACTTCATTAAAGCTGTGGAACAATATGCTCACTTGGGATTACATACACTATGTTTGGTTTGGCGCGAGTTAAAGAAAGATGAATATCAAGATTGGTCTTTGATGTTTAAAGAAGCTAGTAGCACCTTGGTTGATAGGGAGTGGAGAGTAGCTGAGGTCTGCCAAAGAATAGAACATGACTTGGAAATCCTTGGTGTTACGGCGATAGAAGATCGCTTACAGGATGGAGTTCCTGAAACAATAGAAACACTAAGGAAAGCTGGAATAAATTTTTGGATGCTAACAAGAGACAAACAAAATACTGCAATAACAAAACCCCAAGTAACTGAATGAAACCGTGAAAATGGATCAATCTCAGAACCAGCGATCACTAACAACACCACCACCACCATCGCGTTCTGTTCAATTCCATCCTACTCGAGTACCGATTCTCGATCTCCTCACTCTACTTAGGACTAGGAAGAAACAGTCGCAACAAACCCGACGACTCACTCTGCGAACCCCCAAACAAAGCGCAAAAACGCGTGCATGCTATTAACAGAGAGCTTCCACCGCCAAATGAGCAATTCATTTTAGATTTTGAGCAATTTCAGAGCCAGTTTCCGGACCATGAGCAATTACGTTTCGTGGTTAAAGCTGTTCTTATACCATTGGTTGCACAGTGTAGTGGTCATGGGTCGCGATCAGACTTTCTTATTTTTATTTTTCGAAGCTTGAGCGGTATTTGGTGCATTAACTGGGACGCCTTTCTTCCGTCCCTTCTTTCTTCAGTTTCTTCGGCAGAATTACCGGTTGATCAAATGAGTCAAGCAGTGTCAACAATTACCTCTTCTAGCTTATCACAATCAGGAATGTTGCCTCCTCTAAATACAATTACTAATTCTTCTAATTTTTAGTCTTCAAATCCTGCATCTCCATTGAATTCTGTCCATACTATTGGCTCTCCTGCATAGCCATCGATTGAGCCATCATTTGATATTTCCTCGAGTCAATTACAATCTAAACTAAGAGGCGGACCGTCTGTTGAAAATAATGATATCAGTAACAGTAACCTTTGCCAGCTATGTTGCAAAATCATTTTAACTGGTCTGGAGTTCAGTTTAAAACCTGTGACATATGCCGGAATCTTCAACCATATGCTCAATTGGCTGGTGAATTGGAACCAGAGACAACATGGAGTTGATGAATCTGTTATTCTGAAGTCATGGAGACTTGACAAAACTGTAATTGCCTGGCTACATAGTTGCTTGGATGTGATCTGGCTTTTAGTTGATGAGGGAAAATGTCGGGTTCCCTTTTATGAATTATTACGTAGTGATTTTCAATTCATAGAAAATATACCTGATGATGAAGCATTATTTACACTTATCTTGGAGATCCATAGGAGACGAGACATGATGGCTCTGCACATGCAAATGTTAGACCAGCATCTTAATTTCCCTACATTTGGGACTCATCGGATCCTAAACCAGACCACACCTACTATTTCAAATTTAAACGAAGCAATAACGCACCTGCGACTATCACCACTCTCATATTTAAGTGTACTTAGAGAACCATTGCAAGGAGAGGATATTACAACCTCTATTCAGAAGAGAAGTTTGGACTGGGAAAGAGTTGTACGTTGCATCAGACATGCTCTCCGTACCACACCTTCACCTGATTGGTGGAGACGAGTACTGGTACTTGCTCCTTGCTACAGGCCTTCATTTCAAGGGAGTACTGCTGGTGCTGTTTTTTCTTCATAGATGATTTGTGAAGCAGTTATTGATAGAATTGTAGAACTATCCAAATTAACAAATTCAGAGATAAATTGCTGGCAGGACTGGCTTGTCTTCTCTGATATTTTCTATTTTTCATACGAAAAGTGGGTGCATTGATTTTATTGACTTTGTGGACAAGCTGATGTTGAAACTATGAGAGCAAAGGTGAAGATGGCTGAAGAGACTGTCAAAAGAATTACTAGATTGAATCTGATGTTTCACATCATGCCTGATATGTCATCAATGGGCATGCCTTCATTTGATGGAAGCACTTCAGACAATTCAGCTGACGGAGCTGTTCCTGTGCAAGACGATCCACATCATCGCTTCTACCAACATACATAACAGAATTTTCTAAACAAAATTCTAAATAGCCTATTCCAAAATTAACCTGCAAACTGAATTACTAATTCCCATAACCAAATTCTAACAACTTACTAACAACCTCTATAATAAACTTCAACAGAAAATCCCAACTGTTTTAACAATACACAACAAAACCTCCAAACAGAATTCCCAACTAGCATAACCACCTTGTAACAAACTCTCAATCTCACCCTTCAATCCTTAACAAACTCTACCCAAATCAATGGTTCGGATTGATTCTCACTTAACCATTTCCATCTCCCTCAACTACCTATATAATCCAAACTCCCTCCAAGTTTCAAGGGAGGAAGTCACTCTCGCTTTTCCAGTTTCAAAACTTCATCATTGTATCAGCTTCAAAACAACTTCTTCCCTCTCCATCATTCACTCCCAATTTTTCTGAACTCTCATAATCTTCAATTTCCCCTCTCTAAACTCCGTCTTCACCTCCACTCTCCATTGTTCGACCTTCAGTTAGTTCTCAAAGCTTCACTTCTCTCTGATTCATCATACAAAGTTCATTTTTCTCAACTTGCGATAATCTTCATAATTGTCATCATTTCCGCTCTTCTCCTATCGCCAACGCACGCAACCCCCAGACCAAAGAAAAGTGAAGACAATGATGAGAGGATCAAGACGAAGCAGACAAGATCAAGAAGGACAATAATTGTATTACTTCATCTCTGGATTTCTGAAGCGCTACCAACGTGTCTTCAATAGGTAACCCTCAATCTTCTTCTGTCTATGACTTTTTTGCTTGGTTTGTACCATAACCGCGAAGGGTAAAATGCGGCGAACGATAAATCCACCATGTAATCTTGATCGGAAGAAATGTAGAGCTTAAGTTTCGTTGTTAGATTCGGGATAGAGGAAGAGAAATTGACGAAAGAAAGCAAAGGAGTCGAATTCAGAGGGAGACTTTAAGTGGTGTTAACAAGAAAGTTGAATCAGAACAGGGGAGAAGGGATGGAGTCATGGCGGCATCGCCATTGTAGTTTTCGAATGTAGAAGAAAGGCTTTCTGCGTAAAGGAGCTGGAGGGGGCCGTTTACAGTAAACGCCGTCGTTTTGGAATTTTTTTCTTTTCTCCTTTTATTATTATTCATTTATTTAATGGTTATTTCAAATGGTTAAATAAAAAAAAAGAGGAGAACTTATTATTATTTTGCCTTTAAGAATTAATTCCTGATTATTCGATTACTCGAAACTGGTAATTCACTTTGCTCGTCAAGATTCGAGTCTTATGCAGGTTTTTATATGGATACGCTCGAGATGTCGATTGTGATTTATTTTCACATTAAAAGATGCTTCAATAATCATTCCAAATATGGGATTTCTGACTCTTTTCTTTGTTGATGGTAACAGCTCACGAGATCGTCAAGTATCTTTGCTTTTTCTGCTTTGCTCTACGGGCTAGTATCCGTTTGTTATACTTTCTTTCTATTTTTTACCTCGCATTTATCTTGTCCCATAGATCATATGAAGTGTGATAGAATCAGGTTTAGGCTAGTCTCCCTATAACTTTTCTTTCCCTTTTCGCATATGCATTTATAATAACAAAAATTTCCTTTTTTACAAACTTCAAAAATACAAAAAAAGAAATTTACCGACAAGAACCATGTCTTGGCTAAGTTTGAGAGATGATAAGCGGGTTTCTTCTCGACCTTATTATTCTCGTATTCTAAGCTTTGGTATGGTTCAAGTCTCAAAGACTCATTTCATGAATAAGTAGAGAAATGGCTAAAATCTCTCTCTTGAGATTAAATAGTTGTCATCTACAAGCAAAAAACACCAACCAATACAAACTCTTTTTGCCTTCGGGCCTTCCTTTCTTTCAAAACTCTTTTTCAGAAAGAATATGTTAATTCACTTCTGTACTGACGCGTAAATCTCCAAAGGTCGAGTTGCGGTAGAAGGCGAAATTAATGTTGTTCGTCAAAAACAAACAAATTCAAAACTTTTGTGCTCCCAGGCACATTTTCTCCAAACCTTTTCTGAAAGAGCATGTTAATTCACTTATGTGCTGGCGCGTAAGTCTCCAATGGTCGAGTTGCGGCAGAAGGCGAAATTAATATTGTTCATTAAAAAATACAAATCAACAAAAACATAAGCCGAACTACGCAACTCTGATTCCTCAAAACGGATACGTAGGCATTGGGGTAGGGCCCAAGCGAGCATAACTTTTATTTTCCCTACATTCTTTTCCCCTTTCTTTTGCGTCCATTCCCTTCAATAATATAGTAGACAATAAGCATAGATTAAACACACCCATAAGATAGACAACAAGAGTGGATACCGTAGAGTACTACGGGCGTGTGGGGTGCTGATACCTTCCCCTCGCGTAACAGTCTCCCTTACCCTTATCTCTTGGTCGTTCGACCTTGATTTCACCCTTTTCAGGTTTACTCGATGTTTACCTTTCCCTACACGTGGGATAAAAGACGTTCGATGGCGACTTCATTGTTTTGATGATTTTCAGCCGGTTGTTTCACATACTAATCTTTGTTAACCTCCTCTTTGGAGCGTCTGACCTATGTTGATTCCACTGTTGTTGTTGTTGAACAAGTGCATGATTAGAAATCAACACCGCTCCCACAGACTGATGGTGATCATTCTTAACACGGCCCTTCTGGCCATAGAAATCATTGGTTTCTTTCTTATTATTGAATGTATTATTTACAACACTAGAAGACGCAGCTACCAGAATCTTTCTGCTTCTGATACCGCTTTCACCTCGTTCCCCAGTCAGAATTAGCTCAGTAAAATCAGATGAAGAACTCCCAATCAGCAGATTAAAGAATGGACCAGTCAGAGTGCCGATGAACATATTAGTTAGCTCCTGAATAGACAAGGGAGGTTGCACCCTTCCATCTAGGTCTCTTCACTTGTGGGCATATTCATTGAAACCCTCGCTTGAGCCCATATACATGTTTTGTAATTGCACTCGAGTCGGTGCAAAGTTAGCATTATATTGATACTGCTTGTAAAAAGCAGCAACCAAGTCTTCCTAAGTGTGAATGTTAGTTCCTTCCAGCTGATAGAACCATTCTAATTGCGTCCCCGACAAGCTTTCTTGAAATTAATGCACCCATAAATTTCTATCAGCAGTATGGGGTTGGATTTTTCAGACATAAGACCGCAAATGAAGCTTAGGACAAGACACACCGTCGTATTTGGCAAAGACGGGGGCCTTGAACTTGTGGGGGATGACAACCCCTGGTATAAGACGCAACCCTTCAAAATCCAACCCAGGAACTCTCTAGATCTCTATAGCATTGAGACAATCTTCTAACTGTTTGTATTTTACGTCAGCCAGAGGATATTGTTCATTTGAATAGTTTGCTTCTTCTTCATCAGAACCCTGGTTGTCAGCCTTCATACTTATATCATCTTCCTCTTCATATTCTCCTTCAAACTCCAAAACTCATTTGACCGGACCTTTGAGTCTCCTACCCATGTTGAGGATGCCAACTGGTTTCTTGATTTTCTCTCCTCTCTCTTTGGTGATGAGGGCCATCAACTCTTCCTGCCCCTTGGCTAGATTTAGGAAAAATTGTTGGAGCTGGGCGTTATGAGCCTGGAGATCCTTAACTATTTTTTCGAGAGACATTCTTTCTGCTGAAATAAATAAAGAAGATAATAAACCTGTCTTCAAACACCTATCATGTAGTGATATGCATGATATGTATATGCAATGTTTTCAAGGACCTTATGAGATTTAAATTTTCTAACTAAAAGGAAACAGAAACAAAGGTTTTTATTAATAAGTTTATGTGAATACAAAAGATTTCAAAGGAATAAATTAGAATACTCCTAAAGTTTTAATTTTCTCATAGATGCCTCTTCTTCTTGTTGGCATAAGCGTTAAGACTCTGCTCCTCGTGAAGTTTCTTCTTGAGGTCCAACACTTTCTTCTGACTTGCATAAAATTGAGTCTCAAAGGTGTCCCGTTCTTCCTTGAGTTAAATCCAGGACTTATGCAATTCTTCAAGGTCAGTAGGCATGTTTGGATGAAGGATGGTGCGGGAAACGTCTCCTTTAACAACAGGCTCCATGATTACTGGGAGGACATCCGAATATGGCATCATAAGGTTTTGAGCATGATATTGTACCCATTTGAGATCAGGCTCCAGAGGGATGGAATTATTCTGTCCTAAAGTCTTGCTATCAATCTTGTTCACTATGCCCTAAGCATGTATAAACCTTTGACAATAACCTTGCGGATCATTCTCGTAATCGAATATAATACCATGAATAAGCATGTCATAAGGACCGTCTCTTCGAGCATAACCAAATTGACGTAGAGCTAGATAAGGGTTGTAGGTAATACCCCCCTAATGCCAAGGAGTGGAACATTAGGGAATTCCCCACAGCGGTCAATGATAGTGATATCCCCGTGAGATCGGGAATACCAGTAGATGTCTGTATGAGAGAGCAACATTATTCTTCGAGACCAACTCAAACCTTGTTCATTCTACATTATAGTGCGCGGAAGGTGAAAAATAAACCACCTAGATATCATAGGTATACAACACATAAGAGTTCCTCTCTTCTTCATGGTACGGGTGTGAAGAGAATTCAAAATATCTCCAAGAAAGGTAGAAACGGAATTACGAGCAAAAAATACTTTAATGGCGTTCACATTTATGAGTTGGTCTGGATTAGGGAATAGTACCAATCCATAAATTAGCAGAGCCAATATCTCCTCGATAGCCTGGAAACTCATAGCATTCAGAAACAGTTAAGCATTCTCTATCAGAAATTTAGCAAGAAATCCCTTGACTCCACTTCTTGTTTCCCAATTAGATACAATGTCAGACAACTTCAGATGTAAGGCTGCTGCAATATCTTCTGGTTTTGGAGCTTTCTCTAAACCGGTGAAGGGTGTCTGATGAAGAACATAAACTCCTAGTAGTTTAGAGAACTCTTCCATTGTGGATACCAACTGATAATCTAGAAAGGTGAAACAGTGATGTGCAGGGTCAAAGAATTGGAATAGAACACTCAACATGCCTTCTTCAAAACTGAGGTAACCAGACTGAGTAGTCGACCATGTCTTTTGATGAATTGAGAACTTTCGAGAACCCTTGAGACTAACTCCTTAAGTTGAGAAGGTACCCTTACAAAGTTGATTTGAATAGTGTTTCTACGAGTGGAGGCCATAACCTACAACAAAGAACAAAGATAAATCCCTTGGTCCTTGAAATGGTTAGTGAAAATTATGTGGTATGATGTCATGATGTTATGATGTCATGTTCGAAAAAATAATTAGACACAAACAAAACACACAAGGCCTTAGGTTCATGCTTGCATGGAGTTTGTAGGCAAGTACCCTCTTGAGTTTTAGTTGGCTCAACCTGTCCTAAAAGAAGTAACCGGGTTCTAGGAGTCTCAATATAACCAATCTTTCTCTCAGGCATTGTTTCAGCACATCATCTGATTTGCGACTTAAATATCCCGAGAGTATGATATCAATGAGTGTAGTATCAAGTATTAACTAACTTCAGTATGCACCAAATCCGGCCATCTCACTACTTTCTAATGGGTAAGTTGTGTCAACTAAGGTTCTACAGTCAGTTAGTGCTTCAGAAACCATGCGACAACTCAACATTCTCCTTGACTGACTCAAGGGACACCGACACCAACCAATGTGTCACTCTAACGTAGCTATCACTTCAACCATATCGATATACGTCGTATAGTTTCTATGATATATTGATACTTACCTAAAATGTCCCTGATCCGGGTATAGGATCTTTACAAAAATAAATGCTAGCAAAAACTCCGAAATGTAAAGCATACAAATCAAGCAAGTAAAGCATTTTAAATATGATCTAGCTCTAAGGTAACCCCACTTTTAATTATCCCTAGCAGAGTCGCCAGTTCTGTAATATGGTGGGAGAAATGACTTTTGGTTTTGCGTTTTATCACAAATGTTGCAGATAGCAAGAGTCACCATCGAATTCTCTTTTAACCAATAAAGGAAAGGGTGAAAAGAATAGGAAAGACCTTTGAGAATTTTCTGAGTTCGGGAGGGGGGGGGGGGGGGTAGGTTATGAAAAATGAAGTTGTTAGCACCCTTTTCATCTTTAGTCATCTATAGGCT